GGGAAATATTTTCTCTGCTTGTTACTAGTACAGAATAATCTCCAAGGAAGAAAATCCAGCTAGATATTCTACACTGCAAATGTCTCCCAAAGCCTGTTAAATGTTCACATATGTCTTTATGAAATTTGTAATATAGATTGTTTGTATAGTCCTGATTAAGAGCATGAACATCATTAAAAAGGATAAAGTCAGTTTAAGGACAGAAAATTATAAAGTCAACTAAAACTGTTACCTGCAAGAAAAGTATGGACTTTTTAAAAAAACTTAATAGTCGGTGGCTCTTTAAAGAAAAAGATGCATAAACAGCCAAAAGTGAGTTGTTAAGAGGCTTCTAAATTCTATCAGGAATTAACAAGGAAATAATTAACTCTACCCCAAACAAATCAGCCATCACATGTTTATAGCATTTTTGTCCCTCTATGAAAGCTCTATCTTCTTTTTTAGTTGCACTCTAAGAGATTTTACATTGCAAGAGCTTGGCACGCCTTCCTTTTTGACTGACCGTATTATTCCGGAAGACTGGAATAGATGCAATTATTATTATCAGATACAAGGCCTGTAGGATAGATTCAAGATGAGCTCTGCCTGAATTCAAACTTTATTTCTAAAGACAGTATGCATTTGGAGTTGCCTTGTGAAACTGCCAGAATACAGAAAACACAAAGTTTAAACCTTTTGGATGCCCTCTGTAAGGTAAAGCAACACCTCAGCAGTGGATCAGGAAGATGAACGGCATCTGTAAGATTATACTGAGCAGAAGGCATGGTTTTGGTTTTTTATTGAATCCATCCCTTGGTATTTTCCCAGTAAAACACCTCTCGTAAACCAGGGTCTTTGTATTTTTGTTGTTGTTGTTATGGGATTTTTTTTTTAATACCAGTTTAATAGTTTTACTCTACAATAGGAGAGATGTGAAGACAGCTGCTAGTAAACATAAAACCAGCCATATAATGGCATTACAATAGATTTTTTATTTGAAATTCCAGGATGGGGTAAATTTGTTACCCCAGCAAATAGCTGATTACCTGGAAATTGACTTTATATAATAGGGAACATTTCCCTGAAAAAGAAGGCAATTTATATTGGTTAAAACACCAAACAACCAACACACTTCCTCTTTTTTGTTATTTATTCAAAAACAAAACAGACAAGAACATACCTATGTAGTGTCTAGACATCAGAACGCTCTAGTAAACTCCTCTTCCAGGTGTTATAATACCAGCCGTGAAGCAATAAAAAGGCACAAATGAATTTTCAACAGTACATGGAAGATGTAAGTGGAATAGGATGTTTTATCTGTCTTATCTGCAGTTATCTACCACTGGCATCACTGAACTAAGCAAATTAAGATCATTTGGTCATCTTGTTTGCTTTTGCAACTCAAAAAGTTAAACCTAAAATATTTATAGATGTATTTGCATGTTAGCCAACACAGTTCATTCTTCAGATTATAGTGCTGTATTTGTTAAATGTCTAAATGACCTTACAAGGAAAAAAAATAGGTAGTGGTAGCAGCAGGGAAGGTGTAATTAAACATATGAAAAACTTCACTGGGACGGATAGCAGTAAAGTTTGAAACTAGTCACCACTACAATTTGCAATTCTCTTTTGTTAGAGGCCCATTGTAGCCTCCTGAAAGGGGCTCCCAGAATCTGTGAATGTGACCTTAATTGGAAAAATGTCTTTGTAGATACAGTTAAGCTAGTGATCTCGAGAGGCTATCATCCTGGATAAGGGTGGACCGTAAGTCCAAAAGCAACATTCCTTGAAAGAGAAAAGAAAGTGGGAAGGCACACAGAAGCACACAGTTAAGGAGGCCATATAAAGATGGAGGCAGAGACAGGAGTGACGAGCCTGCAAGCCAAGGAATGCCAAAGGCTGCCAGCAGCCATGAGAAGCTGAGAGACACGGAGAACAAATCCTCTGCCAGAGACTCCAGGAGGAACCAACCCTGTCAATACCTTGATTTCGGACTTCTGGACTCCAGAAATGTGAGCGAATATATTTCTGTTGTTTTAAGCCATGCAGTTTGTAGTAATTGGTTACAATAGCCCTGGGAAGCTAATATGGGGTCATTCAGCAATTAAGAAAAAAAGGAGACCTATTAGCACATGGAGTCCAAGGGAGGAAGGAATGACTGAGCTGTTTGTAGGTCAGTGTGCAGTAGGACATCATGAGCAACCAGAACTCAGGTCTAATTTCTGCCAGAACTCTGCCTCCGTGTTAGTCTGTTTTCATACTGCTAATAAAGACATACCTGAGACTAGCTAATTTATAAGGAGGTTTAATTGACTCACAGGTCTGCAGGGCGTGGCGGAGTTGGGGGCCTCTGGAAACTCACAGTCATGATGAAAGTGGAAGCAAACACATTCTTCTTCATGTAGTGGCAGAGAAGTGCTGAGCTAAAGGGGGAAAAGCCCCTTATAAAACCATCAGATATCGTGGGAGCCCACTCATTATCACGAGAACAGCATGAGGGTAACCACTCCCATGATTCAATTACCTCCCACCAGGTCCCTACCAAGACACGTGGAGATTATGAGAACTACAATTCAAAATAAGATTTTGGTGGGGACACAGCCAAACCATAGCACCCTCTTTCCTCTTTGCTTTACTGTCTGTCATTGAAAACTAGCATTCTTCACTTGGCAGGCAACATTGCTGCTAACATCTTTTGAGATTTCTATTGTATGGCTTCAATCATCTCAGATGTACTAATTCCCTTTGATATTCCCAAATTTTTTGAAAGAATCTTACTTTCCTAATTTGGGTCATGTCTCCCTCTGAATTAACCAACAGAGGCTAAGCTGCCAAGATCTTATAAAATATGACAATTCCTAAGGAAACCATTTGAATGGGTGAAGATGCTGGGCACCCAGATGTCCATCACCTGATATCTTTTCTTTCTATGATCTTTCTATGATACAATAGCCATTTTTCTTAAAGACAACAGTGTGGCATTTGCAAAGACATTTGTTCTGTGGACAAGATGTGCAAGTGAATCTGAGCTCTGCCATTTACTGGAAGTGTGACATTAGCAAGTCACTTGGCTTTTCTGAGCTTTCTTGTGAAAAATGAGGATAGATTCATTGTTTGATAAACACTCGACACCTAGAAGGATCTCAATAATGTTTGTTAATAATGGTCATAGAAATATAGAACTTAAATAGACGTTAAAGACAGACAAGGTTAATCACTTTATTTTCACAGATGAGATTTCAGAATTTAAGTTGGTGAGAAAACCAGGGCAAGAATTTAGGTTACTTAACTACCAGATTAGTGTTCCTTTGTTATTTTGTATGATCTGTCCCCATCCCTGTGGATACGAAACAAGGTCTCATCTGAAAGGTGTTATTCAACTAAGGAAAAGCAGCTTTCTTAGAACAGACACTGATATTTGGCTTTAGATTAGATACTAACACAGGGAGAGAGGTGCCAAAAAAGAAAGACCAAAGGGTTGTGCTGGGAGTTAGGATGTGAAGGACCCAGTCAAGCGCCTGCAAAACCTTGTCTACTTTTGAGCCTATAAAAAGTAATTATTTTGAGAAAGCATTCAAACAAATAAGCCATGGTGGGATCAGACCCCTCTAATTATTAAGCCATCTTGTTTACATCCCTCTATCCTGTGTTTATTTTCATTTGGCCATCCCTTATTATATAATAGAAACAGTTTGAAAGAACCCATTTTTCTCAGTTTGACGATGAGAAAATCAAGAGAAAGGTATTTTCTTCTTTGGGCCAAGCTTTGTTTCAAGTAAGAACAATTACCAGTATGTCTGGTGACTGTAGTTCTGCCCATTTTTATGCTTATAAAAGCTTGATGCTGAATGCCTATGTTTTAAAGTTTTTATAAGATCAACTTTGCTTTCAGATAACCTTCCTTCCACCTCCCAAAAACTCACAAGCTGCAACATTTCTGATGTCCACTTCCACACAAGCCAACTTCAGGCCTTTTTCAAGGTAAAGTGCCATATTTACTGTAGCATTTATGAACTTCCTAATTGCCTAACATGTGTAAAACTGCACTAGTGTTTTTATTAGGCTCCTACCTATTTTTATGTGTCACTGATGAAGTGTTTGAATGTTTTTCCCAGTCTCATTTTTTTGCTAAACCTTATGATGTGACTTTTATTGCATGATTTTACGTGGCAATGGTGATTTTTAGGAATGCTTATTTCATATTATGGCAGAATTGACTGTATCTTGCTGGAATATGGGTTATATAAGCAAATAGCCAAATATAATCATACTATAACTTCAAAATTTTGCACATTTTGCAACAAGTAAATGAATAACTCAATAATTAAATCAATATTAACAATTTCTTTCTGCTTAAGGTTTATGTCTTATCAGTACATTGACCAATGATTTCTTATGTATTTCGTTTTACTCCTCGGTGAGTACCAAACTATTCACAGTTCCCTGGATGCACCAAGTTCTCTTATGGCTCTTGGAACTCAATATTACTTTTGTTTATTAAATTCTCACTTCCTATCTTTGCCAGATTAATTTATACTAATCATTTAGACTTTGGTTAAGATATCACTTCTTTCAAGAAGTCTTCCAGGCCATTACTTCCTCCTCAGTTTGGTTAAATGCCTCTTATACATGCTTTCACAGCATTTTGTGCTTAGCTTTCCCATAATTTTTGTCACATTTTGAAGGAATTATTTGTTATTGCTTTCAGATCTCAATTTTCAAGTTAAGAGCTATGCATTTTAATCCCAGATCTCCCTAGGTCAGTGCCAGGCATGAAATAGATGCATATTATAATATTATCTGAAAATTACCTAAATAACTTAATGAATATACTATTTTGTGAACTAGTTTATTAGTTTCCTATTGCTAACAAACAAATGAACAGAAGTTTACTGGATTAAAACAACAGAAATTTCTTATCTTACAGTTCTGGAGGTCAGAATTCTGACATGGATCTCACCGGGCTAAAATCGAGCTGTTGGCATGGAAACTCTATTTCCTTCTGGAAACTCTATTTCCTTCTGGAAACTCTAGTGAGAAATTCATTTTCTTGCCCTTTTCAGCTTCTAGAGGCCACACCTCGTTCAGAATTAATAGACCAGGTAAGTGTAGATCTATTTTCTACTCTCAATTCTTGTGAGGTGGAAGAGGTATGGTATCTGAAATGAGACAGAAAGAGTAGCACCAGAAGAGGTTGGGTTTGACTCATAATCCACAGGTAGATGCGGGTGAACTGAGCAGCTGGTAGATATTTGAGGTGTATTTGTGTGTTCCATTAATCTGTTTGTTCATCTTTACACCAATATCATACTTTTCCAATTACTATACTTGTTTTTGTTTTTATGGCATTGTAGATGGTATGTTTATAGTTTCATTTTTCAAGTTTTGATTGCTAATACATAGAAAAGCAACTGACTTTTGTATGTAGACATTGTATTCTGTGATAATACTAAATCAACTTATTAGGAATTTTTTTAAAAGACTACTTAGAATTTTCTATATATCATATCAGCAGTAATTCAAAAGAGTTTTGCTCTTTTCTTTTCGGTTCTTATGCATTTTATTTATTTATATTGTCTTATTACACTGGCTGGACACTTCCAGTACAAGAATGAATAAGAGTACTAAGAATGGACATCCTTGCTTTGTTTCCTATCTAAGGGAAACATTCAGTGTTTTATAATTAAATATAATATTATTTCTATTTTTTTAAAAATAAGTGACCTTTATCAGATGCAGAAAATTTTATTTTATATCTAATTTTCTGGTAGTTATTATTATTATTACTGCTATTATTATAGTTGGGCATTGAATTTAGTCAAATGCTCTTTCTTCAACTAATGAGGTAATCAAGTGATTTTTTTCTTTATTTTATTCTGCCAATGTGTTTAATAACATTGATTTTATTTTGAGTGTTAAAACAACTTTGCATTTCTGGTATAACCCGACTAGGTCATGATGTACTAGCCTTTTTATGTCTTGCTGGATTTGGGGTGATCATATTTTTGTTTTTGTGTTAATTAAATGTATTAATCTGTAATTTTCTCTTTTTTGTAACATGTAAATGGCTTGGTGTCAAGGTAACACTAACCTCATAAAATGAATTGGGAAGCGTTCCCTTCTTTTATATTTTTGGAAGAGTTTAAATACATTTATATTATTTCTTTCTTAATTGTTTGACAGGCTTTACCAGTGCCATCTAAGTTTGCAGTTTTCTTGTGGAAAGATTTTAAAATTATCAATCAATTTGTTAATAGATATAAGGCTATTCTGATTTCCTTTTATTTCTTCTTGTGTTAACTTTAGTAATTTGTGTGCTTCAAGAAATTTGTTCTTTTAATGTAAATTGCCAAATTTTTCCTCAGAAAGTTGTTAATAGTATTCACTTATTGTGTTGCTGGTTTGAATAATCTATAGTAATATTGTCTCTTTCATTTGTAATGTTGATAATTTATATTTTCTCTTTTTTCTTGATGAGTATAGCCAGGAGGTATCAATTTTATTATCTTTTTAAAGAAACAATTTTTGGTTTTATTTTTTTCAATTATTTTGTCAATTTTCTATTTAATAAATATCTGCTCTTATTATTTCTTCATTCTTACTTTGGGTTGATTTGTTCTGATTTTTCTGGTTCCTTATGGCAGAATCTTAGATCACTGTTTTTAAATCATTCTTATTTTCTAATGGAAATTTTTAAAACCATTTTTCTATTTCTGCTTTAACTTCATCTTACAAATGTTGATATGTCATATTTTTATTTTCATTTAGTTCAAAATATTTTCTAATTTCCTGTTAATTTTGTATTCAATCTATGTCTTAATAAGCATTTTAATTAATTCCAAATATTGAAAGGTTTTTCAAATGCCTTTTTCAATTGATTCTTAATTTAATCTGGTTGTGGACAGAGAACATTCTCTAAATGATTTAAATTATTTTAAATGTATTGAGATTTGTCTTATGGCCTAGCATAAGGTTTATCTTGGTGAATGTTTTATAAACACTTGAAAAGAACGTGGGTTTTCTGATTGTTGGGAAGAGCGTTTTATAAACGTACGTAGATTGTGTTTATTGATAGGATGATTCAAACATTCTATATGATTATTAATTTTATGTATAGTTATTCTGTCAGCTGAGATAAGTGTGTTGAAATCTCCAACTATAATGTCGAATTTGTCTATTTCTCTTTTTTGTTCTATTTATTTATGCTTCACAATTGTTGATGCTCTGTTATTAGATCATGTCCTGTTATAATTACTGTGGCTTCTTTATAATTTGACACTTCTATCATTACGAAATACCCCTCTTTATCTCTGGTAAAACTGATTTTCTGGAAGTCTGCTTTGCCTAATATAATTATAGCCACTCCATCATTCTTAGGATTAGTGTTTTCATAGTATACCTTTCTCCAGTCATTTTCATTTCTAAGCTAAATGTGTCTTTACATTATATATGAGTCTCTTGTAAACAGCACATATTAGGTGATGCTTTTTAATAAGGTCTCACAGTTTCACCTTTTCATAAAATATTTGGTTCATTTATATTAAATGTATTTATTAAAATAGTTAGACTTAAGGCTTCCATATTGCTATTTGTTTTATATTTTTCCCATATGTATTTTGTTTTTTTCCCTCTTTTCTGACTAATTTTAGATTATTTTTTACCATTCCACTTTTCAACTCCTATTGGTTTATTATACATACCTCACTATGTTTGTTTTTTAATGGTTACTATAGGACTTACCATATAGACCTTTTATTTATCATAGTCTACCTTGCATTAATGTTAGCCCACTGTGTGTAAAACACAAGGAAATTAAATGTTTCCCCTCCTGGATTTTTTGTTTTCTATTTTTGTCACACATTTAACTTCCACATGTTTAAAGAAACCTCACAATTTATTGATACTATTTTTTCTTTAAACAATCTTTTAAAAAATCTTTAAAAAAAAACCTTTAAAAATTCTTAAACAATCTTTTAAAAAATTAAAAAATAAAAGCATATATATTTACTTCTATAGTGGCCATTCCTAGTGCTTTTCATTCCTTTATGAACTGAATTTCCATCTGAAATAATTTTCCTTCAACCTTTAAAACTTCCTTTGGCATTTCTTGTAATGCAGGCCAGCTAGTGACAAATTCTTAGCTTTTTATTAATTGTTTTGGTCACAAAATAATGTATCATGAAGACTCAGGCACTGAATATATCAAATTTTTCTAGCTAATATTCAAAGAAAGCTATATAAGCTCCAATCATATGTTATTTTACTGAGAAAAGTAAATGAAGAAAGCAGAAAAAATCAGTTTTATCTTCTCTTCATTTTGGAGGAGTAGTTTTCACTGGATATTGATTGTTGACAGTTTCCTTCTAGCACTTAAAAATTGTCCTATTGTCTCTTTGCCTGCATTGTTTTTAATGAGATGTCAGTAGTTTTTCTTATGATTGTTTTGCTGTGTCTAATGTGTCCATTTTCTGTCTTCTTTTAATATTTTTCTTATTATCATTGACTGTCAGCTAATGAGTGATGATATGCTTTGAGTTATTTTCTATAGATTTAGCATCCTTAAAATTTATTAAGCTTTTTGGATCTCTGAGTGTATAGTTTTTATCAAATTTAGAAAATCTTCAACCACCATTGCTTCAAAAGTTTTTCTGCTCTCCTTCTTCTGTCTCTCCCTCTAGTATGCCAATTCTATGCATGTAGTTAGATATTGTCACATGTCACTGAGGCTCAGTTAGTTTTTCTGTCCACTTTATTCTCTGCTTCAGTTTGGATCATTTCTATTTTTCTGTTCACGTTCACTGATTTTTTTCTTTTGCTTTTAAGCTCATCCAGGGAAATTTTCATTTCATGTATTTTTTTGTGGGGAGGGGACAAAGTTATACAATTTCTGTTTTCTTCTATTTTATTTTATTTTTAGAGATGACATCTTGCTATGTTGACCAGGTTGGTCTAAAACTCCTGGCCTCAAGTGATCCTCCCAGTTTGGCCTCCCAAAGTGCTGGGATTATAGGTATGAGCCACCACACCCAGTTGGGATTTCTTTTTTCTTTTATGTTTTTCTATAAAATTTCCATTCTCTATTGTGTTTCTCTACTTGTTACCTCACTTTATTCATATTTTCCCTTAAATCTTTAACATATTAATAATAGTTGTTTTAAAGTGATTTTCTGTTAATTCCATTATCTCTGTCTTTTCTGGGTTTGTTTCTATTGACTGATTTTCTTCTGCTGTGGTCTTTATACATGGAGTAATTCCTGATGTTATGCTGAACATTATAGTTTCTACGGTGAGTGTCTGATTTTAGCTTCCTTCTTAATCAGGTGTTAAGTTTTATTCCAAAAAGCAGTTAAATTAAGCCATCTTGATTCCTTTGAGTCTCAGTAAAATTTTGTTAGAGCAGGCCTAGAGTAGCCTATACTCTAGAGATAAATTTGTCCTTCTAAGGCATGGCCTGTCTGGACTCTCTAGTAAGCACTACGGATGTTTAAAGAGGTCTTTGCTCTCTAATTGGTTGGAACTTAAATGACTCTCAGCCTGTGCAGGTGCTAGTTCTTGTTCTATTCACAGCTCCTCAGTAGTTTTTCTTCCTCTAGTAGCTGTCTTTGCTCAGTAGTTGTTCTATGTTGGACCTCATGTTTTCTTGGCCTGCACAAGAGAAGCAGTGTTTCCAGTCAAACAATCAAGGGTCCTCAATATAGATTTCTGAAGTTCCTGCTCCATACATCTCCCTTTTATTTGGACCCTGACTCATACATTCTAGCAAATGTTGGTGCTCCAAATTCTGTTCTCTTTCCCGTTAGCCTAAAAAACAACCATTGTGTTCTGGGTTTCCTCTTCCTGCACTACAGTTCAGAAAATGCCTCCAAACAGAAAGCCAGGGAGATTGTGGAGCTTTTTTTTTTAGTTTCCTTCACGGAGTAATCACTATTTTGCATTGCCTATTGCAAAACATCTTAAAATGGTTATTTCATATGCTTTGTCCAATTTTATAGTTATTTATGACAGGAAAATTAGTTGTGTATCAGTTACTCTGTCATCATTGGTAAGCAGGTATTTTAATGCAAACCATTTTAGTTGACAAGTTCTTTGAAGAATAGGTCTG